GCGGAAAAACATTTGTCCTTACAATGCAAAATCTATTGAAAACTATGTAAAAGAAAATTTCTAACAACTCTATCATAACTATCTAAGCTCAAAATCCAATCTTCAAGTCCATGAGATCGAGATCCATCACTTGTGATTAGATTCATCTTGCTCTCTTATCAAGCTTCCTTTCTTTTCACCGATCCTTCAAAACATTCAAATGCAATCTTATCACATCATGTATTAAGAATCAATGAATAGGAACTTAATGGAGTTAAATAGTGGATTCTTACCTAAAGCGTAGTCATACTTTTGACTCTCCCATCTCTTAGATCTCTTAGGTAAATAGGGAAACTTCGTCTCCAATGCCCCTTCTCTTGGCAATAAAAGCAAATTGACTCTTTTGGAACAACACATGGAACTACCTCAGACATCGCCTTTCTCTTATGATCAAACTTTTCGATCATTGCATGTCTTTCATTGCCATTGTCTATATCCATAGAGGTCTTGAAGGCAGATTCACCAATCAACTTTGCTTTTCTATTGCGCCAAACCATTGCTGATTCAGCAGCAATAAGCATATAGGTGAGATCTATAAGGTTCACGTCGTGGTTCATCATATAGTACTCTCTTACGAACTCACTATATGAGTTAGGAAGTGACCAAAGAACCCAATCAACAGCCATCACTTCACCGACAACGGATCCCATCATTCTTAATCTATCAATGTGTGACTTCATCCCTAAGACGTGTGCACACACCGACTTGCCCTCTTTATGTTTACTTGCCAAAAGGGCTTGAGTGATATTGAACTTTTCAATTTTACAATCTTGTGGGTTAGGGAGAATAATTGGAGGAGGAGGAGGAAGTGAAGCATGATTTCTTGTTCCTCGATCGAATCGTGGAATATCATCTTCATGTGGAATGCTTGTTCCACGGGATTTGAGAAGACCATAGTTGTCGAACTTTGACATCGGGAGAAAAACGAATTCAAGTTAGTTGATTGATTGAGTCCTTGGTAAATCACCCAAATGAAATTCCAAGGCTAGGACCCAACACAATATCCTACAACTCGGGAGAGGGATGCCGTAACCCAAATTGCAGAACATTTGAAGGTAAGTGAATGACGATTCACTAGTTTCCACCATGAAAAACGAAAAAGAAATTTAAGTTTTAAACCTATGAAAACTCCTAGATCCTTTGAGATTCATTGAACATTTCAATGGCATGTTTAAATCTCGATATGCCCCTCTCGTTTCTGACTGGGATGCCGAGGATCACAAAGCGGGTGTGAATAACCATGCAAACTACATGGTGCCCTCACATGTTACAATCACCTATTCGATGTGCCGGTAAACCACACACGCTCCACCGAACTATGACAAACATTGAGTCACCCTTTGCTACCTTTGCTTAGAACCATTTAGTGTTCCGGTAAACCACACACGCTCCACTAACGTCTTCGCAAGGTCACAAAGTGTAATTTCATGGAATTGCATCAATTCACTTTTGCCTAAGTAACTAAGATTGGGAATTTGAAAAACATTTAGTTACTTTGTATTTCATTATACTTATAATGGAAGGTTTCGTCCTATCCTACCCATTCGGCTAACGACCCTCCACTAGTCAAGAGTGCGGTGGGTAAGAGTGGATACCCATTCAATCACCACTTTATAGACAATTTCCTTAAACACCCCTTATAGACCAGCTTCGTGAATGAGGCCTACTAACGGTAAGACTGACTTTTACTCATACTTATATATAATGTTAGACTTTTAATGTTATATATAGTATAGGGTGTATTTTATACTTTTAAAATACTATATGGTTAACTTTAACAATTACACTTTTAATTCAATTAAAAGGTTAACCTAAACTTTTATGGATTTATTAAATCTCTTTTAATTATACACCTTAATTAATTAATAAAACCATAAGGGTGTGATTTGAACTTTTTCAAAACATTACTAGAGTTTTAGAGTTTAACATTTCTAATTAACCTTTTAATCAACTTTAAATTCCAAAACTTGAGGGCAAGTTTTGAAACATTTCAAAACATTAGGGTTTTAACTATTTAAATTTCAAAACAACAAAACTTTTGGGGTTCAAATTTAAACTATAAAACCTAAAGGGATAAATTTAAACTATTTCACAAGATAATTCAAATCTAAATTACAAATAATCAAACTTTATCTAATAAAACAAGTGATTATCTAAATTTTGACAATTATCTTCTATTTTGGTAAGGATAATCACATAATAATGAAAAAATTCGGATTTTATCACAAAAACAAGTTTATGGTAATTATCCAAAACCAAAACAGGAAGAAAATCGCGAATTTGAGCTGTCAGACCCTTTGACTCGTCGAGTCTGGACCTGGACTCGTCGAGTACAGCTGACTCGGCGAGTTCACCAAGTGACTCGGCGAGTCAAACATTCAGAAACTTAAAAAATCGATTTTCAGTGCTTATTTCGATCAAATATGCATCAATACAATTGAAACCAATCTAGGCTCTGATACCACTGATGGGTTTTGGTCATAAGACATCCTATGTGCTCATACAAACCCTAATGCTTGGATCTAGGTTTCTCTATTGTACATGCTTTGAATCCAAGACTATAAACCCTAATTCTAGCATACATATAATCATATTAACATAAGAATAAGTTTATAGTATTACCTAGATTGTTATGTAGCAATAACAATCGCAAATCTCCTTGTAATGACTTTGGAATGCTTAGAGTCACAAGTGTCACTCCTCTAATGGTTCACAAACACCATAAGCAAGAGGATGAAGAGGAAAGAGGATGGAGGCTGCCAAAATGTGTGTAAACCCTTACAAGAAGCTTAGCCACGTTTTTGAGCCTTAAGGGGTCTTTATATAGTTGGGCTATTAGGGTTATCTAACAAGGAAACCCTAATTTGGATGCTTAAGCCCTAAGCAACCCATAGACTCCTTTAATTAAGCCCATGGACGATTTCCTTATGGGTTTCCCATTAGAATTCGTCCATCCCTTAATACAAGGCAATCCATGGCCCAAATTGCAATTATCTTATAATTACAATTCCAGTCCCTTAAGTTTAATTAATCTCTTTTAGTCATAAAACTAATTACCAATTAATTATTGACTAATATTAATTAAACAATATGATTTCTCCTTTAATATATTATTCCCATAATATATAAATAAATCATATTTAATCCTTACTCTCCATAATTCATCCTATCAAGTTGCTTTGGTGAAGGCAACCCAAAAGGACCATGCACCATCGGGTCAAGTACATACCAAAATAGTTATGGACTTAGACACTAATCCAACAAAATCTAGCATCGGGCCCCGTCCAGCATCAGACCAAAGTTCCTCGGTCTTGCCCCATCATCGGACTGAAATCCGGTAACATATAACATAACATATAAGCTAAACATTCATCGGGCTTGGCCCGACATCGGAATGAATCCTGGAACATAGAACACATAACATATAAGTTAAACATTCCTCGGGCTTGCTCTGACATTGGACTGAATCCCAGAATAAACAAACAAACACACGCAAAAATCATGAAGACATCAAGCATACAAACATTCCTCTGGCTTTCCCCGACATCGGATTGAAGTCCGGAACATATAACCTACATCGTGCTAAACCCTACATCGGACCTAAGTTCAGCATACACTAACATACATAAACAGGTTGGCATTGGTACCTTCGACCTGTTCCTACTAGAGGAGAACTCACCTCAAATTTCAAGTGTAGTAGCTGAATGTCTCTACTCCTGCAACAGAATCTACTCATGCCCTATACCAAACAACCCCTTAGATATCATTCCTTACATCAAGACCCCTTCATGGGTCAACCTTTGTCAAAGTCTAGGTCAAAGTCAAAGTCAACACTCAGTCAAAGTCAAAGTCAACATTCAGTCAAATTCAAAGTCAACACTCCGAGTTGACTCAACTCATCAAGTCATCGCCCTAACTTGCCGAGTTTCCTTGCTACTCTTAGTGGTGATAAAATGAGTCAACTCGTCGAGTCCCTTCACAAGCTCATCAAGTTCTACCTTGTATAGAAATGGAACAAATCGACTCAACTCGTCGAGTCCCTCTTTGGACTCGCCGAGTTCCTCAGTCTATTTGGGTTATCTTAAGGGATTAAGTCCCTACTCTTCGGATCTAAGCTTCATACTTCTTATATACATTGAAAATGTCCTTTTAAGGGTAAATTTTCCAACTTTACCTATTAATACCTTTAGTTAATGGGTTTAGCTCAAACCCTAACTCCTTAGGACCTAGACCTTGATCCACAAGCCATCCATAGTCCAAAGTAAAGTTTACAAACAGAGATCTAGACCCTAAACACTACATGAACACATAAATTTTCCACCTTTATCTACATGCATGGCCTTTTGGAGCTTAAAAGGTCAAAATGACACCCTTTGGATTGCATGGGGCTTCAATGGCCATAAGTTTGCACCTTTATTCCATGAAAGCCCTACATGATTCGAGATCTGAAGGCTTACTCACTTGGGATGTCCATATCCCAAATATCAAGCTTCTTGGACCAAAAACTCAATAAAGTGATAATAAAGAGATATTAGAAGCTATAAAGCATGAGACTTGATTACCAGAAAGTGATGAGATTGAAATGGAGTCTTTGGATCTACTAGCTTCTGCTTGAATCCCCAAGCTTCTCTTTCCTTCACAAGCAGGAACCAGTCGTTACATAAAACCAAATTCCTCCGGTGTCAGGATCTAATGTAAGAGTTAATTGATCCTACACGACAGTTGTAGCAGGTGATCGTGAGTCTACTCGAATCCCACCCGCTCCCCCACTATTGAAATTTGTTCCTACTAGACTCTCTAATGATTCCTCACTTCGGGGATGGATCAAAGGTAATTACACATTAATTGGACTATTTCATAATTTTGATTATCTTAAGGAAGCCGCATATTCAATTAAAAACTGTGACGGATCTGGATGTGAAATAAAGTAACTTTGCGGCTTAATAATCGCATTAAAATTCATGGATCTGACAAGTAGAGAAGCTTTCATGAAAGGATGGGTGGAATGGTTTTGGAGAATTGATAGTGGTGATATAGCGGAATTCCACTTTGATAGAACTGATTGGATTAAAATCTTAGGCCTTCCACCGGAGTTGTGGTCGGAGGAAAATTTCACAGCAATTGCTATGACCTATGGTCAGGTGGTGGTTCTGTTTGCTATGGATCAAACAAAGGCGAATCTATCCTTTGGAAAGGTTGGCATACTAACATCATCACTAAAATACATCTACTATGAGTTACTAGTGGAGGTTAATGGTAAAATCATTAAAATCATAATTTTAGAAGACGATCTCGACTGGGTTTCATTCAAATCACAAAGATATCAATTGGACAAGAACTCATCATCAGACGATGACGGAAATGATGAAGAAGGAGGTGATGATGAGGACGGTATATCTGAAACCACTATTTCTAAGAATAACAACGAATTGGAGGAGGGAGAGATTGGAACTATGGACGTCGATATGGTCATGGAATCAAATCGGGAATGCTCGACTAGTACTGCCGACAAAGCCAGATCACCGGTGGCGGCTTCATTTTTGACAGATGCTATCGGGGAATCGAAATAGACAAACTTGGGGAACATCAAGGGTTGGATGGAGGAACTAATGTGCAATTGGAAGTTGAAACCCTTGGAAGTAAGGAAAATATTAATGCTACTAATCATGCTGACTTGGATAATAACACTTACGCGGCTGATGCAGTAAACAAAAGTGTTGGACCGGGTGGATCGCCTAATGGACTACTTAATAAACTAGCTAAATCTGACTACTGTGGGCCTTTTACAGACATAGTGTATTTTAATGATAGGCCAACGTGTGGGCATGATGTTAATTTTGATAGTGCTCAAGATAAAAGAAGAAGATTAATAAGAAAACACACAGATACCCCTATTGATTCTTGGAACTCTACTTCGCCTCATTCCTCACTCGATCTAAAAATACTGTTGATTCCTACTCATGTTCCCCTTCCTGAAATTGAGGTGGATTCTCCATCCTCTTCGTCAGAAATTAGAAACACGGTGGACGTGGGCAACATTTTGGGATTTGAGGTCGATGTTGATAACCCGATCCTTGAGGATGGTGAGAATCAAATGACACGATGAAATATCATGACTCTAAAAATTAGAGGTCTTGGAGAGAAACATAAGGTGGACTAGGTTCAAAGGCTTTGATGTGAGCATAAATTATGTACGATTAGCATTCAAGAGTCCAAATTGGGTGAATCTCTTCTCCTCTCAATATTTCAAAATGTTGGGGTGATACTGATTGTGGGTTCGAGCAGGTCTTCATCATGGGGAGATTTGGAGGCTTGGTGTCTATATGGGATAAGAAAACATTTATGCTAGTTGAGACTATAAAATCCTGGTACTTCATTATGGCATTGGGTAATTTTTATGGCATTAATGGTCTCACGGGCATTGTAAACATTTATGGCCCTTAATCAGTAAATGAGAAATCAAAATTAAAGGATGAGCAGTTAGCTTTGAAATCCTCTATACCTACTATGTGGATTCTTATTGGTGATTTTAATGTGGTTTGGAGACCAGAAGAATGGATAAACTCAGTCTTTTGCGCAATCAGTGCAAGTGGTTTTAATCAATTTATACGCAAGGGAGAACTCACAGACTTAAAGATGGGAGGTCAAAGATTCACCTTCTTTAAAATTCATGGTGCGAAATTGAGTGAATTAGATAGATTTTTGGTGTGTAATCGTTCCTTAACTATGTTTCCCCTCGCTTCATGCATGGAATAGACAGAGGCCTTTCTGATCACTCTCCCATTATTTTGAGGGCTCGCTGCAATGATTTTGGCCTCCCACCATTCAAAATGTATAACTAATGGATGCTTAAGGATGGATTCGAGGAGGTTATTAGGAAAGCATGTTCTGAGTTTGTGGGGTTCGAAACTCCTGATGCATATCTCCTAAACAAACTTAAACACGTAAAAAAAAGCTATCAGATGTTGGAGAACTAATGCAGTGAAGGATGAAAACAAGGATTTTGATTCCTTGAAAAAGAAGAAAGGATGATATCGAAAGGGTGGAAGAATCTAGACTATTGTCACACCCCCGAACCGTCAGAAATAACGGCGGAAACGCCCCGGGGTGGGTGACGTCATACGTAGTATCACAATAGTTGTATCATAGTAAGCAAAGTAAACAAAACCATTACATTACAATATGATTATTTACATCTATTTGAAAACATAGTTTGTACATAAGAGTATATAACAAAAGTAAAAGACGTGACTCCAACATGCTCCATTTTCTCCAAAAGTTGGCAAGAGTACCCATCTATTGTTGTCCTGAGAATAAAAGTTGTTTTGAAAACGTATCAGCATAAAGCTGGTGAGTTGATAAGCATGTTTTGTATTGAAAACTAGTCACTGAATTTGTACAAATGATTTATTTTCATTATAAGTAAAATGTCGTTCGTAGCGAAACCATTATTATCAAGTTTTGAAATATGTATGCATGCTTTCCAAGAAAATCCAATATTTTCTAACCTGTTCGTCAATTAATGTATGAAAAGTATATTCAGTTTGAAAACCCTGGCTACCACCAGTATGTAATGTATATTCTGTTTGAAAACCCTGGCTACCACCCGTATGTAGTGTATGTTCTGTTTGAAACCCTGGCTACCACTAGTATGAATAGTAGTTTTACCACTAGTATGAACTCATAATTTAACATAGGATCTGAATGTACGATTGGTATGAGTGCTGAGTGTCAAATGATGTTTCGTATGCAAGTGCATCCTATTAACATATAGTAACACATGTATGTATTAGATTGAGGTATTCCAGGACTAAACATGACGGGAAACCACTCTAAGGAGCTGGAAATGCTTGAACTAAGTGTCGGAACCATAAATGATCGAACGAGGGAGGTGTATGGCCACCCTAAGGGTGTGCACGGCCCATGAGTGTACGATCCTACACTCATGATGCGAAGTGCTTTTGAAGCATTTCCAATGTTCTAAAAGCATCCAAGGAGTGTTCTAGGTCCCATACTTAGTGTTTTTTTTTTTTTAATTTTAAGGCCAAATATGAGCATTAAAGTGGGTGTAAGGCCATAAGAGTGTGTGTGCGGGCATACGTAGGAGTGTGCAGCCGTACAGAGTGTGTGTGCAGCCATACATAGGGGTGTGCGGTCCTACACTCTTCATCTAAGCCCAAAATGTTGATTTTTAGGTGATTCAAGGTTAATACCAAGTCCAAGCTACTAGATGAGCGCCAAACTCTCACTTTGGAGAGTCTTTTAGGTGTGTACGGCCACCTTATGAAGGTGTGCGGCCGTACACCTTCAAAGGATGAAGAACATGATGAATTAGGGCTTACATCAAGATGTTTTACAAGTATATCAAGCTAGATGATAGAATACTCATGTTTTTGAAGCTTTTGGAGTGTTCTTAGATGAAGATTCTAGAGAGAGAAAGTAGAGTGCAACCAAAGATGGAAAAGAGTGAATGAAGGGTCTCCCCCTATTTATAGAGGTGAGTATGCGGTTAGGGGGATGGGTGTGTGGCTTCATACCCGTGTGTATGTCCGTACACACCTCCCAAGAGGGTGTACGGCCCGTTTTTGTCCCTATACGACTTGTTGACTCATTCCTAATCTCATTCCCGACTGAACTCAAGCTTAGAACACTTAAACGAACCCTTAAACGGTGTTATAAGGTAACGGAATCGAGTTTGATATTGATAGAATTGATCAATCTTTTCAGAATAAAAGTTTCAGGATGTCACATCGTCCCCCTGTTGGAGGGAATTGCATGCCGAAATTCGAAAATAGATTATAAATCATGGATTTGGAAAACGATGGGGGTACTTCTGTTTCATTGAATCCTTGCACTTCCAAGTGAATTCAGGTCCCCGCTTGGCATTCTAGCGAACCTTCACTATCGGGATGCGACTTTGCTTTGTTCGCTTGACTCCCCGTCCATGATTTTGATTGGTTCTTACATAGAGTTGAGGTTCTTGTTGATTTCAATCTCATCCAGGGGAATCGTAAGAGTCTCATCAGATAAGCACTTTTTAAGGTTCGAGATGTGGAAGATAGGATGAATGTTATTAAGCTATTGAGGTAAACAGAGTTTTCATCCCACAGGACCGATTCTAGTGAGGATCTCGAAAGGTCCTATGTACCTTGGATATAGCTTTTCACGCTTCCCAAAGCGTATCATGCCATTCCAGAGCGAGACCTTCAGCAGAACATGGTCTCCAACCTAGAACTCCAAAGGTTTTCATCGTTTATCGGCATAGCTCTTTTATCTGTCTCGTGAGGCTTTCAGTCGTTCCCGGATTTGTACGATCTTTTCAATGGTTTCGTGAATGATTTTTGGGCCCATGAGAGTGCTGTCGGGGACTTGTCCCTTGGCTAGCCATGTGTCGCTTACCTCAGCCCAACATAGAGGGGATCTGCACTTAGGACCATATATGGCTTCAAATGCCGCAACCATGATACTAGTGCAGTAGTTGTTGTTGTAGGAGAACTCGACCAAAGGTAAATGGGTGTCCCACGACTTACCAAAGTTGATGACACATGCTCTCAACATGTCTTCCAAAGTTTGGATGGTTCTCTCACTCTGCCCGTCTGTCTGAGAATGGTAAGCTGTACTCATATCCAACTTAGTTCCAAGAGCTTTCTGCAATGACTGCCAGAATCTTGAAGTGAACCTTCTATCTTGGTCGGAGATAATGGACACAGACACACCATGCAGTCGAACTATCTCTTGAATGTATATTCGTGTGAGTCTTTCCATCTTGAAAGTTTCTTTGATTGGCAGAAAGTGAGCGGATTTTTTCAATCGGTCGACTACTACCCAGATAGTATTGCAACCACTAAGATTTGGGTAATTTGGTGATAAAATCCTTGGTAATCCTCTCCCACTTCCACTCAGGTATCTCTGGCTATTGGAGAAGTCCCGAGGGCTTCTGATATTCGACCTTCACCTTGGCGCAAGTCAGGCACTTGCCCACGAAGGTAGCGATCTCTGTTTTCATGTTTGGCCACCAATATAGTTTCTTGAGATCAAGGTACATCTTATCCGAACCTGCATGAATGGAGTATTTGGTCTTGTGAGCTTCGTTCATGACAACCTCCCTAAAACAACCGAACTTTGGTGTCTAGATCCGGTACATGAAATAATAGGCTCCGTATCCCTTGATCTCTAGGTTCATATTAATTCCTCCCAGGGCTTCATCCGTTATGTTCTTTGCTTTTAGGGATTCCATCTGAGCCTCTTTGATTTGTGTAGATAGGTGGGAATGGATAGTCATGGTTAGTGCCTTCACCCTACGACCTGCACACTCCTTCCGGCTGAGGGCATCTGCCACCATATTGGCCTTGCTGGGATGGTAGCATATTGCACACTCATAATTGTTGAGGGCATCTGCCACCACATTGGACTTGCGGGGATGGTAGCATATTTCACACTCATAATTATTGAGTAGCTCTACCCATCGCCATTGTCACATTTTCAACTCCTTCTGGTTGAAGATGTGCTGCATGTATTTATGGCCAGTAAAGATCATGCACTTGGTTCTGTAGAGGTAATGTCTCCATACCTTTAAGGCGTAGACCATTGCTCCCAACTCTAGGTTGTGAGTTGTGTAGTTGACTTCGTGTGTTTTTAGTTGTCTTAAGGCATAGGCGATAACCTTTCCCTGCTGCATAAGCACACAACCTAAACCCTGATTGGATGCATTGCAGTAAACAACGACGTCCTCCGTCCCTTCAGGTATAGACAGGATAGGTGCACTACATAGGGCCCACTTCAATGTTTGGAATGTAGTGTCTTGCTTTTCACTCCAAAAAAAAAAGCACGCCTTTCTGAGTCAGAGTGGTTAAGGGTTTGGCAATTCTGGAATAATTCTAGATAAATCTGCTATAATAGCCAATGAGATCCAAGAATTGACGGATTTCTTACGCGTCTTCGGTGCATACTAGTTCTCTATTGCCTTGATTTTGGAGGGGTCCATGTGTATGCCTTCCTCGCTTACCACGTGACCTTCGAAAGATACTCTTCGAATCCAGAATTCACACTTAGAGAATTCTGCGTATAGTTTCTCTATCATTAGAGTTTCCAACGCCAATCTCAAGT